CTGTTACTGTAACGCTTTCATAAAATGAATTTTTTCGGTGATTTTTCTTGCAACAATTTAAAGTGAAACTCCAGCCATTTTTTATGGGGAAGGGTTAGAACATTTGTCAGGTTTTTAATGCTCTCTGTGTGCCTGTTGGGACCTTTTCCAGTAACCACACAGGAAATGAGGAGAGTCTGTACACTGGGAACATAGTCCGTTCTAACCCTTCCACTTATGGTCCAAAACATTTAAGTGTAAAAAAGAAAAAAAAAAAAAAAAGGGATGGGGTTTCACTATAAATCTCACTGTGCCATATTTTTATTAATAGTTATGGACACATTATTGTACGTGACAACCATTTTTATAGAGAAAGGTCAGCAATTGTGATCTACATAATTGCTTTATCTAGGTCTCCTTTAATTTCAAAATGACTTGTTATAAGTTATATATGTTCTTTTTTAATGAATAATATGGTGCTCTTCTTTTTGATAATCAGGTTCTTCTGTCAAAAAGTGGACCTGTCAAACTTTTTAAATAAACCTTGTCAAGGCATGAATATGGGAATTTCCATTATTGACTTTTTTCAATGTGAAAATTCTGGGTGTAACACCCTTCTCCTTGGCTTTGAGTGTTTGGTGCAGAACAAGCTTTTGCTTGTTAGGTATCCCGACCAAGGACAGGGACCGGAACACTTCAGGTTTGGTGGGCTCTTCATCCACAGGAATTAATATACTCATCAAATCACCAGCTTTACACATCTAAGTCTATTTCTTGCATGGCAATGACATGTCGAAAATTTAACTGGGTAATACTTTATATCTGGAATAAATACATGTAAGTACTTATCGATCTATGGAGTTGGTTCACCTTATGATAGTCACAGATTTTTAAAATGAATGTCCCAACATCATTGCGAGGTATACGTAAATACACACATGAAGTTGTAGGTTACCTTCCTAGTAGGGATGCACTGATACCCTTTTTTGATTGGCAAGTGCCAGTACCGATACTTTTTCATCAAGTACTCGCCAATACCGAATACTGATACTTTGTGGTGCGATGGGGGGGAGTTGTCCCTGCCTTGAGAACGCAGTGATTACTGCTAGCTGCTATAATAGTCGCCAGCAATAATTGCATGTAAAATCCAACAGAGTGGTTGTACCCAAATTGATCCATCGATCAACTTGGGTACATTCATCCGCCAGCAATAATTGCATGTAGAATCCAACGGGGTGGCTGTACCCAAATTGATCCATCGATCAACTTGGGTACATTCAGCCGCCAGCAATAATTGCATGTAGAATCCAACGGGGTGGCTGTACCCAAATTGATCCATCGATCAACTTGGGTACATTCAGCCGCCAGCAATAATTGCATGTAGAATCCAACAGGGTGGCTGTACCCAAATTGATCCATCGATCAACTTGGGTACATTCAGCCGCCAGCAATAATTGCATGTAGAATCCAACAGGGTGGCTGTACCCAAATTGATCCATCGATCAACTTGGGTACATTCAGCCGCCAGCAATAATTGCATGTAGAATCCAACGGGGTGGCTGTACCCAAATTGATCCATCGATCAACTTGGGTACCCGCCAAATAATGCATGTAGATCCAACAGGGTGGCTGTACCCAACTTGATCCATCGATCAACTTGGGTACATTCAGCCGCCAGCAATAATTGCATGTAGAATCCAACAGGGTGGCTGTACCCAAATTGATCCATCGATCAACTTGGGTACATTCAGCCGCCAGCAATAATTGCATGTAGAATCCAACAGGGTGGCTGTACCCAAATTGATCCATCGATCAACTTGGGTACATTCAGCCGCCAGCAATAATTGCATGTAGAATCCAACAGGGTGGCTGTACCCAAATTGATCCATCGATCAACTTGGGTTCATTCAGCCGCCAGCAATAATTGCACGTAGAATCCATTGGGGAGGTTGTACCCAAATTGATCCTTCGATGAACTTGGGTACATTCAGCCGCCAGCAATAATTGCATGTAGAATCCATTAGGGAGGTTGTACCCAAATTGATCCATCGATGAAGTTGGGTACTTTCAGCCGCCAGCAATAATTGCATGTAGAATCCAACAGGGTGGCTGTACCCAAATTGATCCATCGATCAACTTGGGTACATGCAGTCTGCCTATACATGGTTTGAATCCTATGGCCAGCTTAAGCAGCTGTATTGTGAATGGCTCATTTCAGTCATTTATTAGATGGCCGGCTGAACTTTGGTTGAGGTCATTGAGCACATGCACCAGCACCTCATGAGTGACGCATTCAGTGGGAGATGTAAACGTGAACAGTATGTAATCCGCAGCAGCCGCAGCCTAAAGGCTTCGTGTACGCTGTACAAATGTAAACGTTCGCAGAAAATGTACATGGGTACGGAATTTTTTTTTTTTTTGCACAGGATGTTGCTGCCAGTATGGTCATGCATACATCAATATGGCGTGTGAATGAGGCCCAAAACTAAAGCTACCAAAACAAGATACTTTAGCTAAGACAACTCAAAGCAAGAAAAGTGTTGTTTGCTCTTGGGTAGATCCTTCACATTTATTATTTTAAATGGCTGCCAGGTTAACTTTAAAGTAAAGGTCTCGGCACCATACAATCATCAGTCTAATAGCAGGCCACATCGGACTGACAGGAACAAATCGCACTCACAATGCATTGTGGGATACGTGTGGAGGGGTAGTCTTGAGCTCCAAGCTTCTTGTGAGATGTGTCCGATGGTCGGCAGAGACTAATATTATTCCACAAAGGCCAGCCACTGCCCCCTCATTAATTTCATGTATTTCTTTGGAGTTTTAATGGGAAAGCATGTATCCGCTCAGAGTGTGAAATGAAATCCTTTTGAGCCGTGAGGTTTATTAGATGTTTATAGTAAGCACTGCGGTTGCCACACTCCTCCTTTGTAGTGTGCTGCTGTCTACTGAGAGCTGTTAGTGACAAGGAAAATAAAACCATTTGACAGCATTACCACTGGTGACAAACACAGACTATGAAATGGACTAAAACGCTCAGAGAGAGGCCGTCATTACAAATCTTCCTTGATTAGATCACTCTGGGAGAGCAGCTGGATTAAATTATGAACGGGGTTTGTAAGCCGTTTCCATGGTTATCTTTAAGGGAAATTTATCAGATAGTGAAATACCTGTGTGAGAAGGTCTGTGGTGGAAGCAGGCATCTCTCTACTTGTGCTTTGTGCTGATTCTGGGGCTCTGAAAAAGCCTTAAAGCAGAGTTCCACTCAACCTATCAAAAAATAAAAGTCAGCAGCTACAAAAACTGTAACTGCTGACTTTTAAAAAAACAGCCACTTACCTGTCCCTCGGTCCCGCGGTGTGTCCCCTGAAGCTCGTTTTACTGGCCGTCCTGTATTCCAGGAGGCTGGCATCTTTAGTGTGGGCATCCGGCTGTGACAGCTTGCGGCTTTACGGCCGAGTGCCCACTGCGCATGTGCGAGTAGCTCTGTGCATCGTGAATGGTCCTGTAGTCTTCTGGGACTTGTCACGTGTCCCAAAAGAGGGAGGGAGGACGGACACCTTGGGAGCGGGTACCTGTCAAATTTGGATACCCGCTCCCCAAAGGTGCCAATCCTTAATGGGGAGCTGGGGAGCAGTCCTTAAAGTGGAACTTCCTCTTTTGGGTGGAGCTCTGCTTTAAAATGATTGTAAAAGGAATTTTTTAAAACAAACATGTTATATTTACCGACTCTGTGTACTGGTTTTGCACAGAGCAGCCATGATCCTCCTCTTCTGGGGTCCCCCGATGGCACTTCACCCCCTTTTGAGTGCCCACACAGCAAACCACTTACTATGGAAGCAATTGTGCGGGTTCAGTCCCGAGCTGGGCTCTGCATATCCATAGACCAGCAATGGGCAAACTACGGCCCGCGCCGTATACGGCCCTGGCGGACCTTTTAATCCGGCCCGCGGAGCTAGGCTCCCGCTAGGCTCCTCTCGCAGTCCGCCCTGAAGACCGGTGTAGCATGAAAATCTGTCTCCTATGAGGATCTGTCCCCCTCGACGTATCTGCGCATGTGCCGGAGATCGCCGATCGGCTGCTAATGCCTGAAACTGGCACATGCGCAGATACGTCAAGGGGGACAGATCCTCATAGGAGACAGATTTTCATGCTACACCGGAACGGCGCGGGAACACGGCGAGAGGAACGCGTGGAGCAAAGGTAAGTGAATTGACACAGGGGGGACTTGGGGACTTGGGGATGAATTAATATGGGGGATGAATTACTATAGGGGGGATGAATTACTATATGGGGGATGAATTACTATGGGGGATGAATTACTATATGGGGGATGAATTACTATATGGGGGATGAATTACTATATGGGGGATGAATTACTATATGGGGGATGAATTACTATATGGGGGATGAATTACTATGGGGGATGAATTACTATATGGGGGATTAATTACTATGGGGGATGAATTACTATAGGGGGGAATGAATTACTATAGGGGGGATGAATACTATAGGGGGGATGAATTACTATAGGGGGATGAATTACTATATGGGGGATGAATTACTATGGGGGATGAATTACTGTATGGGGGGATGAATTACTATGGGGGATGAATTACTATGGAGGATGAATTACTATGGAGGATGGGGGATGAATTACTATATGGAGGATGAATTACTATGGGGGGGATGAATTACTATATGGGGGATGAATTACTATAGGGGGGATGAATTACTATAGGGGGATGAATTACTATACGGGGGATGAATTACTATAGGGGGGATGAATTACTATATGGGGGATGAATTACTATGGGGGATGAATTACTATATGGGGGATGAATTACTATGGGGGATGAATTACTATATGGGGGATTAATTACTATGCTTACTATGGGGGAATATTACTATACTTACTATGGATGACACATACACATCATTCATCTACTCTTGGTCCGGCCCCCGGGTCCAATATATGAACCCATTGCGGCCCTCAAGTCAAAAAGTTTGCCCACCCCTGCCATAGACACACACACACATAGCACAGCTCAGTCCTGCCCCCTGCTCTCTTCTTACAGAGCTGTGATTGACAGCAGCAGAAGACATTTGACTGCTGTTGAACAGGAAGGTTGGAAAACGTTTGTCGATCAGCATCTGCAGCCACTTAAAAGTGTATTCTAAGTTCAGACAGTCCCATTGTCAGAATACAGTAGTACAGTGGGAAGAATTCCTCCATCCACATCGCTTGTGTGAATGTCGAAATCCATTTTTGGCAGATCAGAAAAAGAAAGAGAAAAAAAGAATCATCTATTGCCAGCCTTACCCTTCAGCCTTGCACAGGAATTTACTGACTGCCCCTGGTGCTAGCCCTTTCACATGTGGGTCTGCATGCAAATGTAGCCTGTCTAGAAACCCCTATTCCTGCAGACTAACACATTCATTCAGACACTTTGATGCACTGCTTGCATCCAGACTGAGGGCTCCTGAGAAGGGTAGTAAGGCAGGGCGCTGTGATGTTTCAGAAAGCCATGTACCCTGCCGATCCTTCTAGCCACAATCTGCCTGCATTGCATAGAGCAGCACAGTGACTCAGTGATAACATCACCGGGACTAAAATAAAGTCTGTAATGAAGTAAGTATGTATGTAAGTTTCGTTTAAAAAGTTTTGAGCATTTTGATGAGGATTGCATGTTTCATAATCACAGGAGGAACTGGGGAGTAGGTACCAGGGAAGGCAAAATAAAAGCTGAACTCCCAGGAATGATCTCCATTGCAAACTTGAATTGGCCCAGCTTGGAGTAATGTAAGAATGCATATTTTATACCTGAGGGGCCACTGGGGAAGTTGACAATCATTGTAGTAATCAGCACTACTGCAGTGATGGCAGCAATCCTCCAGGTCCTGTGCCAAGCAGCTTGGCACACACTGACCACAAGGAATCCCTTTCTGAGCACTGCCGTCATTCACAGAATGCCTTGTTTTTTAATACAAGTATAAGAACAATATTTCTTGTTCTTCCACTAAGGATCACAGGATGTGTCTCTGGTCGACATCGGTATAATTTGCGGGTGAAAGACGTCTTTAAAATACTTTGCAGTTAAGTATAGAAAATCCTGGTATTTAACAAATCAAAGTGCAGCAAATAAGAGAAGTTCATTATAAGGGCCCTTTCACATGGGTGGACCCAATTGGAACACCCACTGTTCTCTATGGCAGGGCTTAAAATTTCAAATCCTGAGCTACTAGCCAGACCTTAAGAGTTACTCGCTGCACGCACGCACCCACGCACACACGCACACACTAAAAAAGTTGCAGTACTTTGTTGTTCACTCACAGAGCCGGGTACTGCACTCTAGGGGGAAGCAGAGAGCACAGCACACACTCCTTCCTTTGCTTTCACTGCACTCAGCTATTGAGGAGTCTGACGGCTCCCAGTACCAATGACAGATCCGGCCTGAGCTCCGAGCCTGCTCAGCAAGACAGCCCTGGGGGACACACTCGCCTCCACCATAATTTCCACTCACCATTGGCGAGCAGGCGAGTGGAAATTTCAAGCCCTGCTCTGTGGGGTGGTTAGATGTAAACGGACTGCCTGTCCGTTTAGAGAAGCCAGCATCTGATCTGAACTGCTAAAAACGGGTGGAGATCCGTTCCCCAGCCGTCGATTGGATGGAAATGCACAGGCGGTCCGTTTACATCCGTCTGCCCCATAGAGAACAGTGGGTTGTGTCCATGTCTTCTCTGAACAAGCTGTGCTGACACGGATCTGACACCTGCCTTCTCAGTGGAGATCAGAGGACAGACACCCCGCTGATCAGATGGATCCACTTGACAGAGCCCGCCCCCGTGAAAGGGCCCTTAGGGTGTACACACAATTTAATACACTGTTTCATTAAATACATTTTAAATAATATCTTTTACTTTATATATATTATTGACATTAAATTATGTATATATTCTAGCAGTTAAGCTAAGTTGAGCTTTAAAACAGGCCATCACTGATGTCTTTAGCTGTGTTTTTAATGTGAAGTTATCCTTTCCCTAAGATCCTCAAAAATCACAGCAAAGACTCCTAAGGGCTCTTGCTCCGGCCATACAGAGCAGAATACAGCTGTTGTTGTGGCACCCAGAGCCACAGCTACAGTGAATTGTGGCAATTGACTTGCATCACAGTATTCACTGTGTAGCTGAATGTGTGTAACCAGCGACACTCACATTTACAGACAAACAGCATGAGTATGGATTGATTTTTTCAAAATATACACTTCTAAGCATGGATGCCGGTGGTTGTGTGCTTAGCCACATGATAAATCTATTAGTGTATGGCTGACACTAATAGATTTATCATGTGGCTATGCACACAAGCACCGGCATCCATGTTAAGCTGGCCATAAATGGATTAATGGATTGTTTTTGTTGGCTTTTTTTTTCATGATCAGCCAGACGGCTGTTCAATTGAAAAAAAAAAAAAAGAATAGATTCTCCAATGGATGGAGGAATCATCCCCGCTGAGCTATTTGTATTCTGACTCCACTGTCAGAATATACTGATCAAATTAACATTTTCCAGCATTTCTGTTTGAGATGAGATGAATTTTGATCCATCTATGACCAGATTTAGGCCATACATGCTTTGTTTTCTCTTTTTTCAGCTCAAGATAACATTTGATTCCTCCATTCACACTAAACAACATGGACGAAAGACTCTCCCCTGCCAACTATTGTGTTCTAGCAGCCATAGGTGCTTGAACTCCCGAGCAGTGGTTGCATCTGGTAGGATAAAGTCACTGTTGGACCCTTTCACACGGGTGTTCCGCTTTTCTCACCAATTTTTTCAAAGAAAAAAAAACAGAGTTTAAGCCTGGATTCACACTTGTGCGGTGAGGCATATCGCATGTGATTCACACAGAAACCGCACCACATTCCTGTGCAAATCACATGTCAATTCTGTGCAGTGCGATTTGAGCCGTACATTTTGTATGGCTCTAATCACACCGCATCTGCCCCAAGAAGATGCAGGACCCTTTTTTTGCTCCACATTAGAATCAGATCACATAGGTGTTCACACCCATGAGATCCGATTCTGCGCATTGCGAACCAATTTGGGGGTGTTGCTAACATGTATGTTAAATACACACCAGCAGCAGTTTGCATGAATAGGATGCGGTGTGGAATTGGCACAGAAAACGCTGCAAATTCCGCACTGCATCAGTGTGAACCCAGGCTAAGGCTAGGTTCACACCTATGCAGTTTGATCCGTTTCTGCAATGCGTTTTTGCACATGGGTTTTTGCAGCATTTTTGATATGTTTTGCGGGGGGGTTTTTTATTTGCTTTATGCTAGGCAGATTTAAAACGCATCAAAATCGCGGCACAAACTCACTACATGCTTTTCTGCTGCGTTTCCATTGAAGTCTATAGAACCAAAAATACAACTTTTTTGCATTTAAAAAAAGTCCCTGACCCTTTCCAAAAAACGCATCGGGTGTAAACACGAAAATGTGAACCTGTCCCATTGGAAATCAACATGATTACATACAAACAGTATGAGTATGGATTTATTTTTTCAAAATATACAGGTCTAAGCATGGATGCCGGTGGTTGTGTGCTTAGCCACATGATAAATCTATTAGTGTATGGCTGACATAAATGAATAAGTCAGGTGACAAAACATGTCAAAGGGAAGTGACGTCAAGACGTATTGAGTAACAGGAAGTTGCCGTTCGGCCATCTTGGATCCTGGAAATTCCATTCAGAGACACAGGAGGAGTGTTCCTGAGGATCTATGGAGGGTCTGTTTGTAATTTTAATACGATGTAACATTTATGCAATAAAATTTATGTGGTATTGAAGAACTTCCTATTGCTGTTTGTGGTGGCATTAACCGGAATCATTGAGAACATGACCGGATGAGTTTTTACATGAACTTTATCAGTATAATCTGCTCAGTTTTGGAGGGAATCTATATGGTAATGGAGGAGGAATTTTCCACTTGCTAAGTTTGAAAAGCCGTTTTTGGATTGGGACTTACATGCGTGTTATATCCATGTTCTGGGAAGGGTGTTTTATCCTTACACTTAGAAGTGGACACGTGTTTACATGGTTTGCACACTGCATGAGAGTGTTTATAGCGGTTTGCACAGCTCACATTACACTCACCTGCATGTGAGGTTTAGTGTGATTCACATGCGTTTTGCAGTGATGTTGATATTACCTTATGCGTTTTTATGGTATCACACTATGTGAGTTCTCTCTTTTTTTGAGGTTCGATCTCCATAATCACTGGATCTACATTCGGCTGGAAGCCTTTTTGCGGACTGTCTTTCTGGAGGATTTTTGTCTATTCTGTTTATTTTATTTTTTATTGTGGACAATATCATTTTTGGACAGTAGTATTTATTTATTTATTAGTGTTATTTAGTATATTAGCACTTTATATATACAGTCAGGTCCATAAATATTGGGACATCGACACAATTCTAACATTTTTGGCTCTATACACCACCACAATGGATTTGAAATGAAATGAAACGAACAAGATGTGCTTTAACTGCAGACTGTCAGCTTTAATTTGAGGGTATTTACATCCAAATCAGGTGAACGATGTTGGAATTACAACAGTTTGCATATGTGCCTCCCACTTGTTAAAGGACCAAAAGTAATGGGACAGAATAATAATCATAAATCAAACTTTCACTTTTTAATACTTGGTTACAAATCCTTTGCAGTCAATTACAGCTTGAAGTCTGGAACGCATAGACATCACCAGACGCTGGGTTTCATCCCTGGTGATGCTCTGCCAGGCCTCTACTGCAACTGTCTTCAGTTCCTGCTTGTTCTTGGGGCATTTTCCCTTCAGGTTTGTCTTCAGCAAGTGAAATGCATGCTCAATCGGATTCAGGTCAGGTGATTGACTTGGCCATTGCATAACATTCCACTTTTTTCCTTAAAAAATTCTTTGGTTGCTTTTGCAGTATGCTTTGGGTCATTGTCAATCTGCACTGTGAAGCGGCATCCAATGAGTTCCGAAGCATTTGGCTGAATATGAGCAGATAATATTGCCCGAAACACTTTCAGAATTCATCCTTCTGCTTTTGTCAGCAGTCACATCATCAATAAAAATACAAGAGAACCAGTTCCATTGGCAGCCATACATGCCCACGCCATGACACTACCACCACCATGCTTCACTGATGAGGTGGTATGCTTAGGATCATGAGCAGTTCCTTTCCTTCTCCATACTCTTCTCTTCCCATCACTCTGGTACAAGTTGATGTCGGTCTCATCTGTCCATAGGATGTCGTTTCAGAACTGTGAAGGCTTTTTTAGATGTCGTTTGGCAAACTCTAATCTGGCCTTCCTGTTTTTGAGGCTCACCAATGGTTTACATCTTGTGGTGAACCCTCTGTACTTCACTCTGGTGAAGTCTTCTCTTGATTGTTGACTTTGACACACATACACCTACCTCCTGGAGAGTGTTCTTGATCTGGCCACTGTTGTGAAGGGTGTTTTCTTCACCAGGGAAAGAATTCTTAGGTCATCCACCACAGTTGTTTTCCTTGGTCTTCCGGGTCTTTTGGTGTTGCTGAGCTCATCGGTGCGTTCCTTCTTTTTAAGAATGTTCCAAACCGTTGTTTTGGCCACGCCTAATGTTTTTGCTATCTCTCTGATGGGTTTGTTTTGTTTTTTCAGCCTAATGATGGCTTGCTTCACTGATAGTGACAGCTCTTTGGATCTCCTCTTGAGAGTTGACAGCAACAGATTCCAAATGCAAATAGCACACTTGAAATGAACTCTGTACCTTTTATCTGCTCATTGTAATTGGGATAATGAGGGAATAACACACACCTGGCCATGGAACAGCTGAGAAGCCAATTGTCCCATTACTTTTGGTCCCTTAACAAGTGGGAGGCACATATGCAAACTGTTGTAATTCCTACATCGTTCACCTGATTTGGATGTAAATACCCTCAAATTAAAGCTGACAGTCTGCAATTAAAGCACATCTTGTTCGTTTCATTTCAAATCCATTGTGGGGTGGTGTGTATAGATCCAAAAATGTTAGAATTGTGTCGATGTCCCAATATTTATGGACCTGACTGTATATATATATTTTGACATAAATGGACTGTAGAATGCACAGAAAACATCAGGGTAACATCAGTTGTACATCAGTTTTTACATTAGTTTTTCACACCCACTACCAATGCAAAATGGACCATTTGTCCGTTTATATCCATTGTTGGTCCATTCCGTTTAATGGAACAGAAATGCAGACTTGTTCTGTTTAAAAAAATGGCACCTAACTGGGTGCAGACAAAAAACTAGTGTAAATGGACGACGGATGTTTTTCATCCGTTTTCCTATAGGAATGGCTTGCTGTCCGTTTTTCATCCATCCAACAGATGGAAAACGGACAGACAAGAACGTCTGTGTGAAAGGCCCTAAGCCCTGGTTCACACTGAATGCGACTTTGAAATCACACATCTTCAAGTGAAGCACTACTTCAAGATCACGGCAGTTTTTAGCAGCAAATTCACTGTGGCTTGCGATTTCATTTAGCAGAAGTTGATGCAAGTCACAAT